TCTGCGCCTGCTTTGTCAACTGCCGCTCGGACACTGCCGTGCGAACTGCCTCCTGCAGAATGTCCTCCAGATGGTTCAGGTCGCGCTTGGTCTCCGCCTCGCGCTGGGCCTCGACATGGTTGCGCACGACCTCGTTTATGGACTTGCTCTCGGACTTGAACAGGTCCTTCGCCCCGGCACCCTCCTTGCTGTCCGTAAGTTCGTCCTCGAATCCCAAAAGCCGTCGAGCCCTCGCTGTCCGAGGGCTCGCTCACAGGAGCGCGGAGGCCTTCGAGAATCCGCCAAGGAAGTCCACCGTCAACTGGATGACCTGCCACGCGGCGGCACGATCGCAACTGGCAGAAGTCATCCGCGAGCTCCTTGAAGCCGCGCCTCATAATTCCCAGCCGAACGTCTTTTCCAGACGCCTTACGACCAAGCTGAATGATCACGAAGACGCCCTTCGAAGTCCCTCAGGCACTGCACGCTGCGAGTGCCCTCCAGGTCCTCCGCCAACTCCTTCATGAGCCTGGCCGCCGTCTGCACATCGCTCACGTGCGCGATGAAATTGCCATGGCGCACCGTGATGCCGCCGCGCGGACGGGTCATCGCGTGCCCCAGCGCCTGTGCGGCCGCGCCGGTGGGCAGTCCGTAAAAAACTGAACAGACTCACTCGAGCCCAACTGGCTACGGAGGAGGAGGAGGAGGAAGAGGAGGGGGAGAGGAGGAAATGGAGGAGGAGGAGGAGGGGTAAAAGGATGAGGACGATCAGAAGAGGGAGGAGGAGGAGGAGGAGGAGGAGGAGGAGGAGGAGGAGGAGGAGGAGGGGGAGGAGGAGGAGGAGGAGGAGGAGGAGGAGGAGGAGGAGGGGGAGGAGCCGCCGATCCCAGCTCTCCGGGGCGGGCGACACACACGAAGCTCCCCGTCGTGCTCCTTTCGCCCCTGCCCAAGGGGTCGTCTCGTCCCGAGAATGCCCCAGGGCACGACGACGACGCCGCCGACGACGACGACGATGATAACGACGACGACGACGACGACGACGACGACGCCGACGCCGACGCCGACGACGACGACGACTACGACGACGACGACGACGACGACGACGATGGGGGCACTGAAGTCTGCGCTTAGCTGTTGCGGAACGCGCTGGAAATACAATGGAGACCCCTGCCAAAAAACACCCTGCGTGCCTACAGGGTGCCCCGGGTTTCTTGGGTTTCGACGGTTTTGCGATGGAGAGCACGACGCTCCCACACCAAGAATCAGTGGACGTCCTGCGGTCTCAGGGTTGGGCTTCTCGTGGAAGGTTTCTCGTGGGCGGGCCCCGACTGCAACCAGCACCGGCTGGGACATGGGTGGGCACCACCACATGGGAGGGCGCCGACCGTGCGCCTTCACCAATCCTGGCCGGTCCCGTCCCGGGCCCCAGGTCGATGTGTACAGTGGAGGCCAGTCCCCAAGATACCTTCCTAAAGAAGCCCAACCCTGAGACCCCAGGACGTCCACTGATTTTTGGTGTGGGCACGTCTCGCTTTCCATCGCAAACCATCGTGACCCCGGGAAACCAAAGGGCATTCTGGAGGCAAGCACGGCGTTCCTTGGCATGGGCCCCCACTGTACGCTCTCCTGGCATGGCCAGGAAGGCAAGTAAACCAGTCCCAAAGGATGAACCGATTGCACGAGCACACCCTCTCGAAGGTCCGCGGGGATTTCTTAGATCGGTGCTGGGCCCCCTCTCCATCGCTCGGAGCGCGCCAGGGGTGGCGCTGGGCGCGCCGCCAGGGCGGCCAATCGCAGATCCAAGACATCTGCGCGGATCTACGAAGCTTGTGCGTTCCACCATGTTTCGCTAGTCGAGGAAGGCATGCGGTCGGACCTAGGCCAGAAGAACATCCCTCAAGAACACGAGACCCTCCAGCGGCCAAAACACACAGAACATGAAGGGTACCCTCCCCAGGATGCACAGGAGCATCCGACAAGCAGGGAGAACCGACCTCGATCTTGTACCTCGGTCCATCTGTATGCGGATGACCCGTGTCGTGACGTCTTGCGCTGGTTTCTGGCACCGCGCGAACCGTTCTAACCTCGAGCGGCCGCGGCCTCCCGAGAAAACAACAGGTCGCTCGGTGTCGCCCGATTCTGGACCACTGGCGGCGCTCAAACGTGAAAGCCCGTACTGGAGTCGCCGCCGCGTCGACGCGGCACTGAGCTGCTGCATGCATGCGAAGGTCCTCGCCCCTCCACACGATATGAGAAAATCTACTACATGAACGTCTTCCTTCCCCTCCTCCTCCTCCTCATCATCATCATCATCAGCATCATCACCATCATAATTCAGCAGGGACCGACCGTCCCAGCATTCCTGTAGGCCTACCACGACATGCTCTCAGAGCCAATCAACATTCCAATAACAAAACACCGTTCTGAGAACATGAAGCCGACGTGCTCAAACAAGAAAGTCTCAGCCAGCAATGTTCTGGCTGAGAACACTTCCTGGAAACCACAACATATGATTAGAACAGTCTTTGTTGGTGGGTATATAGGCAAACCGATTCGCCTCGCCACTGCATGACCCAATCGTCATCATCACAATCATCATAATCATCATCCTCACCACCACCACCGTCATGATCATTACCATAGACGCCATCGTCATCGCCATCGCCATCATAACCATAAGCATAATAATCACCATCATCATCAGCATAATCACCATCATCACCAGCAGCAGCACTATCATAATCATCAGCAGCATCATCAACATCATCATCAACATCTTCATTCACAGCATCCACATCATCACCATCTTCGTTACCGTCATCGTCATTGTCATCATCATCATCGTCAGCATCATCACCATCACCAGCAGCAGCATCATCAGCATCATCATCGTCATAAGCATGAGCATCACAAGCACCATCATCATGATGATGATGGTCATCATCATCATCACCATCATTATCATCATAATCATCATCACCATCATCCGAATCATGTTCCTCACCCTCCTCCTCCTCATCATCATCGTCATCCCATCACCATCAGCATCATCATCAGCATTACAACAACAATAACAACAACAACAATCACCATCATCATCATCAGCATCATCATCAGCATCATCATCAGCACCGTCATCATCATCAACAACCTCATCATATTTATCCTCGTCTTCCTCCACCTCCTACTCGTCATCACCATGCTCATTACTCCATGATCATCATCGAAAGCACAATCATCATCATCATCATCATCATCATCATCATCATCATCATAATCATCATCATCATCACAATCAGCAACACAATCATCATCATCATCACCACCACCATCATCAGCATCATCATCATCATCATCATCATCACCTGTATCATCATCATCATCAGCAGCAGCAGCATCATCATCACCATCATCATCATCATCATCATCATCATCATCATCATCATCATCATCGCCGTCGTCATCATCATCATCATCAGCATCATCATCATCATCATCATCAGCAGCATCAGCATCAGCATCAACATCATCATCATCATCATCATCATCACCATCATCATCATCATCATCATCATCATCGTCATCGTCATCGTCATCGTCATCACCATCATCAACAACAACATCACCATTATCAACATCATCACCAGCATCGGCGATGCATCGGCGATGCGGCGCGATCCTCCGACCCCATCTACTCCGACCCCGTTTAGGAGGCCTAGAGACACATATTCGCGGCCGACCTCAACGGCACGGCTGTCGCCGTGTATGGCTGGTGTCACCACACGCTTCCCCTGCCAGGCCCCACCCTCTCACCATTGGCCAGGGCGGCCACGAGCCACTGGTCTCACCAGGCGGCCCCGTTCGTCCCGACGATCCACCAGGGCCCGACTGCTTCGATCACATCGGCGATCCTTGGACGGGCCTGCTCGACGACTTTGACAGCGAGGAACTAGACCCGCTTGGGCTAGGCGACTCCCGAAACGATGACGAAGGAAACGGCGTTCCTCTTTCCGATTCTTCCCCTAGGCCCTAGGAAGGAGGACGCTAATTCTCGTCCTCCTCCTCATCCTCCTCCTCCTGGTCGTCCTCCTGCTCCTCCCGCTGGTGATGATGCGTAGCGCCTGTCTATCACCATATGGCCGGAGCGGGCGGCTGCTTGTGGCTGCCCTGGGCGATCGCCCCAGGCAGCCCACCAGCTGACTAGGCAGCCGTAAAGCAGGTCGGGGAGAAAAAAGGGAAACGACCGACACGGCGGCAAAGACTCACGTCCTGCCCGGCCCGTCCTCCTCCTCCTCCTCGTCCTCCTCCTCCTCCTCCGCCTCCTCCTCCTCCTCCTCGTCCTCCTCTTCCTCCTCCTCCTCCTCCTCCTCCTCATCCTCCGCCTCCTCCTCCTCCTCCTCGTCCTCCTCCTCCTCCTCGTCCTCCTCCTCCTCCTCGTTCTCCTCCTCCTCGTCCTCCTCGTCGTCCTCCTCCTCATCCTCCTCACCCTTCTCACGGCTACACGCAAGAGTGACCCAAGGCAAGAGTGATCTCTGGTACGCGGCCGAAGGAGGGGGGGGCTTCGGGGACACCACCAGGCGCGCAAACCGATGCTATCGCATCGCATGCAGCGATCGGGAGTTCCCATTGGACCCGCACGACAGGTCACTCTGGCGAAAGGTCACTCTTACGTGTAGCCGAATCCTCCTCCTCCCCCTCCCCCGTCCTCTCTCCCTCTTCCCGTTCCTCCTCCCGCACCCCAGACCCATCCCGTAGCCCTCTTCTGACCAGGACCTCGAGGCGGATCCAGCGGTGGCGGCGAGGGCCCCCCTTACCCCCCAGAGGCCTGGAAGAGGAGAAGGCCTGCTCGCTCTCGTCCTACAGTCGGGGTTGCTGAAGGCGCCCCTGGCCCAAGGTGCCCCTGGCCCAAGGTGCCCGTGGCCCAAGGTGCTCCTGGCCCAAGGTGCCCCTGTGCACCCTGGGCCAGGGGCACTTCAAGCAGCACACGATCCAGCCCCTCCTCCTCGCTGCACCGGCCCAGCCTCCAGCGACACGTTGCTGGTCCTGTCGTATTCGACCTTGGCTATCCTCCACACCTGGGCGGCGCCAGAGCAAGGCGCGGCATGCCCCAGTGTCCCTCTCGCTCGTACTCGCGAGGACGGGGAGAGAGAGGAGGAGGAGCAGGAGGAGGAGGAGGAGGAACAGCAGGAGAAGGATCAGGACGAAGAGTACGAGGAGGACGAGGAGGACGACAAGGAGGATGACAAAGAGGAAGAGGAGGAGGACGAGGACGAGAAAAAATAGGAACAGGGCCAGGAGGAGGAGGAACAAATCCGCCGACCCTGTCAGCGTGCGGAATAGGCTGTTCCGTTTGACTCGTCGAAATTGAGCAACGTCGCAGTTGAGTCGAACGGAAACCCCTTCCCTTTGATTACTTTCCCGCCGGGGGGGGGTCCCGGGGTGAGTCCCGGGGGGGGTCCCGGGCAGGGGACTCGGGGGGGGTCCCCGGGCAGATACGACTCCCCCCCTGGCGGTTCGGGGGCCCAGGAAAGTCCCAAAACGCGGCAAAAATGCCCAAAGATGTCCCCAAAACGGTCTTCGAAGGCCCCGAATCGCCGAAGTATCGGTCCAAGTCGCCAAAGTAACCTCGAGACCGCTCCAAAGGTTTCCAAAACGCCCCAAGAAGCCTCCAAGAGGACTTCCAAGACGGCCCCAAGGGGCAAAAGCGTAGATCCCCCACGGGTTTTGAAAGATTTCAGCATTCTCGCATTGTCAGCTTCCCGACGCTCCAAGACAGGCCAAGAGGCCTCCAAAACCACCCCAAGATGGTCCAAGAGGCCTCCAAGAGAGCTCCACAACGACCCAAGAGGGCCCCAAGACCGCCCAAGAGGCCTCCAAGACAGCCGAGGAGGCCCCCGAGACGGCTCCAAGAGGAAGAGCAGACGGGTGACCCGAACGGACATTTCGATCCCTCGGCCTGAGGAGCTCTCAGGAAGCGCCCAGAGGCCCCCCCAAGAGCCCCCCAAGAGCCCCCAAGAGGCCCCCACGAGACCCCCAGGAAGCCCCAAGAGGCCCCTACGAGGCTCCCAAGCGGCTCCCAAGCGGCTCCCAAGAGGCCCCCAAACTACCCCAATAGGCCCCTGAGAGTCGTCGTCGTCGTCGTCGTCGTCGTCGTCGTCGTCGTCGTCGTCGTCGTCGTCGTCGTCGTCGTCGTCGTCGTCGTCGTCGTCGTCGTCGTCGTCATTCAGGGTCGGCGGCACCGGCCGCAAGGCCTTCGCGATGGGAACAGGAACAGGGCCAGGAGAGAAGAGGACAAGGAGAAGGAGCAGGAGGGAAAAGGAGGAGGAGGACGAGGAGCAGGAGGACGAGGAGTAAGAAGAAGAGAAGCAGGAGGAGCAGGAGGAGCAGGAGGAATGAAGGAAGGAAAGAAAAGTTGTTCCTCTGCACTCCACGGCCCGTGCCTCCCACCTCGCCGACACCGAAGCCTCGAACGGCACAGGAGGGCAAAGGAAGGAGAGGGGAGGGCGGGGGTGGGGCATCCAGAAAGGTACCGATACCGCGACCCCCCTGACCTCTCCTGGGATGCGTTCTGACCAGCATCACGGGGCGAACCCAGCGGTGGCGACGACGGAGGCCCAGGAGGCCCCAAAAGGGGAACACGACGGGCGAGGGGGTTAGAGGTATGGGTACATCTTCCTCCTCTGCGGGGGGGGGAGGGGGGGCGAGGGGCCAGCGCGGCCCCAAAAAAGCCGACGGCAGCCGCCGCCGCCGCCAGCACCCCGCTAGCCTTAGATCGGGCATGTCCCCCATACAGGCAGATTTTGGACGAAAACTAGAAAACAGCCAAACAAGACTCTAAGCTACTTAGTAATAGTAGTAGTAGTAGTAGTAGTAGTAGTAGTAGTAGTAGTAGTAGTAGTAGTAGTAGTAGTAGTAGTAGTAGTAGTAGTAGTAGTAGTAGTAGTAGTAGTAGTAGCAATCGTAATACTAATACTAATAAAGAAACCAGAATGATAACAATAATGTGAATAGTAGTAAAGGCAATAATAATATAAATAGTGATAATATTAATACTAATAATAATCATACTAAAAATACTAATAATAATACTACGAATAAGAATACGCATGAACAAGTATTGGAAATAATGCTACTATTACTGATATTAATAATACTCATACAAATGATAATAATGATGATAACACATCGCACCTATGATTATGTTGACAGAATTCAAAACTCATGTCCTTCACTTCAGCTCAGAAACATGCATAAATGAGAAGTTGTGATACTCGATATGCAGATATTCATGTTGAGAAATAAAAGGGGCGATATGGATGTGCGAATATTCATGTGCAGAAATGATTACGTACTATACAGATACATTAAATATTCACGCTCAATATCAGCAGGCTACTCTATATGATGCTGAACTGATGTGATAATAGCAGCATCTCCAGATATTATACATGCTGATAATCAAATATACATCCAAACATCGAACACCTATATATTCAGAAATCGGCCCGTCTGAAATCGAAATGCAGCGGAGTCCTGGGGACCATTCCGCCTTAGAGCGCACGGTGCTCCTCTGCTCCATGCTACGCCGCAAACAGCAGGGGCAGAGGAAGGGGGGGGAGGTGGAGGGGGAGGAGGGGGAGGAAGAGGAGGGGAGGCTGAGGAGAAGTGGAAAGAGAAGAAAGGAGAGGACGCGGCCCCAACCGGAAGGCTAAGAGAAAGAGATGCGATGAGATTTAATGCTTGCTGGGTAGATCCTTGGTCCCACTACCCGCCCTCGTTTCTGAAAGGATGAGCCCCGGGCCTAGTCGCGGCCCTCTTCATCCAGGGCTCTCGTTTCCACGAACTCCTCCTCTTCCTCCTCCTCCTCCTCCTCCTCCTCATCATCATCATCGTGATCAGCAGCAGTATCATCATCATCATAATCATCATCATCACCATGATCAGCATCATCATCCTCATCATCATCAGTCTCCTCACCCCCCTCTTCATCGCCCCTGCCCCATCGCTGCTAAACCTCTCGCAGCTGGGGTCCAGGGCCACGGCGCGGCCCCTGACTGAGGAAGGCGGCCTCGGCCGAGTGCGCCGCAGCTCACAACACATCGACCATGGAGCGAATGTCCTTCATGGTGGTGATGGTGCTGCCGGAGGCTGGAGGCGTCGGCATCGTCGGCACGTTAGCGTAGGCAGCGAGGATCATCGCAGCACAGGGCGTCGAAGAGAAGGCATTGCCTGCCAAGCCGGAGCACTGAGCATCGGACAGCTCGAAGGAGTCACCATCAAGGTGCCGCTCGATGAATTTAATGGGGAAGCCTTGCACGTTGAGAGCCTCTTGGCCTACCATGCAGCGCGCCCTGGGCACGCAGCTAGGATCATTCTGGGCGGTGTACATGAAGTAGTTCTTCGTGCCGCGCACGAACGTCGCCATGAGCTCCGTGTCGTACATCATCATGCCCCGATCGATGTTCGGATTCACGTCGACCGCCAGCAACTTATTGTCGCGCATCCGCTCAGCCACGGCGATTATCTCCTGGTGGCGCTTGCAACTCAGCTCGAACGACGGGCTGGTGCTCACTGCGGACGAGGGCGCAGGCGGGTCCAAGAGATCCCACTGTCTTCGCAGAACTTCTGGTGCTTCCGAACCCAAGCCGCATCCTTGTCCTTGGCACGCTGATCCTTAGCGTGCTTCTCATCCGCGATCTCCTGAGCGCGCCGACGGCGCTGGCGAAGCTGCTCCGCTTCGATCTCAGCACTGCCCTCAGGGATGAGAAGCTTATCCAGCTTGAGCGCAGGCGTGGCAAGCTTCAGAACGGTGCTGAACATCCTCAGCATGACGGCGTGTGCTTCGTCTGGCTCGAGCTGGAAGGCGTCCAAGTGAATGCAGAACGTCCACGCCCCGGCGCGCTTCTGCGGAAGCACGTAGTCGCTGCTGACCAACACGCGCCTGCATCTCATAGCCTGCGTCGCGGGGCCAATTCACGAGCCACTTCACGTTATCGGACTCACCCTCGTCCTTGGCCATCTCAGGAACATTCTCTAAGATGGCCATCTTCGGGCGGTACGCCTTCATGTACTCGCAGACACCGAGGCACGTGGCCCCGGAAGACCCCAGCCCCTTCTCCAAGACCTTGTGGATGGGATTCGGCGAGAGGATCGTGAGATTCTTGCAGCTGTAACCTGCGACCAGCAAGATGGCCTCCTGCTCGACCCTGCAAAGCGCGTCGTGGGTCGCGCACTCGCCCTGTCCGAGATGCAGCCCAGCAGTGTCATCGAATATGCACGGCTCGTGGAGTGGATCTTGCTGAGATGTGAGATACGTGTGGACGTTCTGCTTGAGGTGCAGCCGCTTGAAGTGACTCTGCTCGCAACTGCGCAAGTGCTTGAACTCGCCACCGAGAAGCTCGTGGACTGCATGGTGGCAGATCTCCCCCATGCCAGAACCAGAACACAAACTTGCGCACCTGCCTGCCGTCGGCAGCCTAGCGGTCCGCATGGCCACCTCCTTCTCATGCGTGCTCAGCTTGCCCCAACTCATGCGGATGAACTGCCCGAGGTTGGAGTTGTCGTACAGGCAGCTCTTCTTCAGCTGCAGCTTCTGTGTCTTCGGAGTCGGAACTGTGACGAGAGCCAAGCACTTCGATGGCCCGTCACCGCCAGCAGCAGCCGGGCGCTTCATCCCGCGCCCCATGATCTGCGCGGCGGGGCCAGATGCGCCGACGGTTCTTAAAGTCTTCGATCCAAGGAACACAAGAGGGCATACGGATGGGATGGGGCACAGGCCGAGGGAAAAGCCAGGAAGCCAAGTCGTGATGGTCGGGCAACGTATCTTGTCAAATGATGCCTCGCCACGTCTCGCCTGACCAGCGCCATCGCCGTGCCAGCCCCTGCGAGGCTAAGGATATCCAAGGTCAGGGTGTTGTTGTTGCTGTTGTTGTGTGTGGTGTTATTGTTGTTGTTGTCGTTGTTGTCGTTGTTGGTATTGCTGTTGTTGGTCTTGTTGTTGGTGTTGTTGGTGTTGTTGTTATTGTTGTTGTTGTTCGTAGATCGTTGCTCGCTGTCGTCACCCCCCCCGCGGCCCGCCCACGACCAACCCCACGTGGCCCACCCCGCAACCCACCTGAGACCGATCCAGGGATCCACATTGGTTGGATGAGAAAATCGGCGCCTGCGGCGGGCTCGTTGCATAATTTGAGGCCTCCTTCCCCCGCTCCCCCGTTGATTTGTCTGCTTACCCATCGGTGTTATTCACTCCCAAACACCGCGAGCATGCTGCGCAGCCTGGACCAGTCGACCCAAGCCTTACTGCGAATGCTTCTCTGAACTCGTTCACTGGTGGCCTTCGCCGACCCCCCCTCCCGCCCTCGAGGCGAAGAGCGCAGCAGGGCTTGAACATGCCTGGCAAATTGACTCCCAGGACCCTGGAGAATCGCGCCCCAAGTTGATCCAAATGCATGGCCTTGCTTCCAACGTCAAGAATTTGGGTCCCCATGTGGGCTGCGTTTCTCCAGGCTGTCAGGGGCGCGCCTCCTCCGCGGCGGGCCTGGGTGGCCAGCCAAGTCGGGCCATTGCCCCAGCGAGGCAGACTAGTGTGCGATGCAGCTGCTGGCGGCCCACCCTAAGTCAGGCCGAGGCTTTCGCCTTCTTGGCCTTGGGGCCAGAACTGGCGCACGCAGCCTTCGCCCTCCTGCCACTAGAGTCACTGCTGCGGTTCTCGCCATCCCCGGCCTCTTCTTTGATAGCCAAGATATCCTCCACCTCCTTGACCGCGCCCTCGCCGAGGTACTTCTTGAACTAATCATCGGCACCAGACACGGCCCAGACATCCTTCAGGTTGGAGCGAATCTCACGGCCGTCCGCAGTGGTGAAGCCTATTGATGGGTTGGTCATCAGCGTCGCGACGCCCCACTTGAAAGTCTGGAACCGCGACTCATCCAACACATCATTGTGTGTCTTGAGCCGCTTGCCCTCCGAGAGCTCGCCCACAGCCGTCTTCAGCTTGTAGCGGATGGACCTCGCTTCGCCCGCATCCTTGGCCTTGAACTTGGACGCGATCTGGGCCCACGTCACGTCCTGGCCCTCCTCCACGAGTTTGACAAGGATAGTGTTCATCAGCTGATCGATTTCCCCGAGCTTCAGGTCTGTCGCTTTCACCGACGCGCCCATCAAGCGCTCGCACCCAGACTTCACCTTCCCCGCGAGAGATGCGCCCACGCTGCCCCCCACAAACCAAGTTATGGAGAGCGAGACCTCCTCTGCCTTCTCGCTCATCTGGCTGATTGAGCTATCCAGGTCCGCGCTAGGCGCGAACTCCACATCGATATTCGCATCCATCTTGCATGCGACATGGCCCATCGACGTGACGCAGAGGATCACATCGCGGACGAAGGCAATGGCAGCGCGGTCGCGCCCGGGCGTCTCCGACCAGCGGCAGACCTGCAAGCGCGGATGAGCCATATCCCGCACAGTGATTCCTGTGGAGCTCACCAACTCGACGGCAGCCGCATCGGTGACAATTGTGCCATTCAAGTTAGTGCACGCCACCGCGTGGGCGAAGACCGCTTCCTTGAAGGTGGCAACCCTCGTCTTGTACAAGGTGGCCCCCAGGCCGTCCAGTTCGAGCTTGGACTCGATGGAGTCGAGCGCATCGGTCACCTCAGAGTCCAGCCTGTATTTTGTCGAAACTGCATCTTTCAAGGTAGCCACGACTTCCCAGCATGGGAAGATCGCCAACTTCTCCTCGCCGGCCTTACTGCGCACAGTAATCAAAGTAGTCAGGGTCGTGTGCACGGCGTCGAAGAGCTTCTCGCGGCTGGTTATCTCCTCACCCACGGATGTGATCGAGTCTAACGCATCCCGCACCTCTTTCAGCTCCAGCGTGACCTTCTCGCTCAAGTCATCGTACCAAGAAGTGGCCGCTGCTGCGCGACTGGGCGACATCCTAATCTCGTCTGCCTGCCCCTGAAGCAGCGCGTTGGCCTCGTCTGGGTCGCTGACGGCCTCAGAGTGCTCAAGCGCGCAGACAAGGTTCTCGGATATTAGATTGATGAGCTTTCCGCTCACCTGCTCCAACCCTCGCAGGGCCTGTATCACCCGAACTCTCAGCTTGCCAGATCCATCCTCCAGGAGCAAGGGGAAGGCCACTCGCAAGTGCACGAACATGGCTTCAACATCACTGGTGGTAGCCGAATCTCGCAAGACCTTCTCCAACGAGCTGGTCAGATTCTTGCCGGCTGTAAAGGTGTCGCCGATCTGCCCCCGACACCGCGACATCAAGGGGGCCCCACCGGTTGTTGTGCTCGCGAGCTTCAGTATGCCATCATAGCTCTGGTCGCCAACCATCGCGTGCACATGGTCCAGCGCCTGGACCTCGGCCTCCGCATCATCGGAGGATGTGTCCTGCCAGGACACATCCTCCGCATCATCGGAGGATGTGTCCTGCCGAAGCAGCGAGAGCGCAAACAACAATTTAAGTGACCCGTCAGCACACACACGTACAGCACAACCCCCCTCCGCACAACACCCTTCCCCACAATCCCCCAGCACAACCCCCCAGCACAACGCCTCAGTACAATTTCCAGCACAGCCCCCCAGCACAACCCCTTGGAGGTTGTGCTTGGAGGTTGTGCTGGGGGTTGTGCCAAGGGGTTGTGCTGGGGGTTGTGCCAAGGGGTGGTGCTAGGTAATTATGCTGGGGTGTTGTCCGGGGGGGTTGTGCTGGCGGGTTGTGCTGAAGGGGTTGTGCTGGGGTGGTTGTGCTGGGGTTCTGCTGGTGGATTGTGCTGGGGGGTGCTGCTGGGGGGTTGTGCTGAGGGGTTGTGCTGAGAGATTGTGCTATGGGGATTGTGCCAGGAAGTTATGCTGGAAGGTTGCGCTGGGGGTTGTATCAAGGGGTTGTGCTGGGGGTTGCGCCAGGGAATTCTGATGGGGGTTGTGCTGGGGGGCTGTGCTGGGGGATTATGCTGGGGAGTTATGCTGGGGAGTTGTGCTGGGGGATTGTGCTGAGGGGTTGTGCTGGAGGATTGTGCTGGGAGGTTGTGCTGATGGGTTGTGCTGAGGGTTTGCGCTGGGGAGTTGTGCCGGGGGGGGAGTTATGTTGGGGGGTTGTGCTGGAATTTGCGCAGAGGGGTTGTGCTGGGGGCTGCGCTGGAGGTTGTGATGGGGGATTTTGCGGGGAAGAGGTGTGCGCTGGAGGGTTCTGCTGGGGTGTGTGCTGAGGGAATTGTGCTGAGTGGTTGTGCCGGTGATTGTGCTGGGGGATTGTGCTGAGAGGTTGCGATGGAGGTTGTGCTGGGGGAGTGTGCTGGGGAGGGGTTGGGGCTTGTGCTGGGGGGTTGTGCTGGAGTGTTGCGCTGGGGGGTTGTGATGCGCGGTTGTGCCAGGGGGTTGTGCTGGGGGGTTGTGCTGGGGATTGTGCGTGGAGTCGTGCTGGGGGTTGTGCTGGGGGGTTGTGCTAGGGGGGCGTGCTAGGGGTTGTGCTGGCAGCGCAACGAATCGCCAACAAAACAAGCGGTGCCTACCCGCGCGAACACAGAACGCCAACAAAACGTGCGGCACCTGCCTGTGCCAGAACAGAACGACCAGCAAAACGGCAGCCCAATGGCCCAGACGAATGGGCGCGACGGCCGGCGTTCGGAGCATGCGAACACGTGTTTCGAAACGCGTTCACTGCATACAACAGAAGTAGCATGGAAACAAATGGGAAAAAGTAGGACTACAATGTTTAGGTTGCGCCCTGCGTCCTGGGTTGAGGGAGCAGGAGGCCATAAACTAAGACTCTTAGACTAAGATTTATTCCGACTAAAACTCAGATAGACTAGAGGCTGGACGCTGAGCTGCAAGCTGCGTCCCCCCAAAGGCTTCAAGGCTTCTAAAGGGTACTAGCCCTGTGTCGCAAGGCTTCTGGCGCTGGGGGTCTGGGCAACGCGGTCATCGCGCTACCGTAAGGAACGCATGCTTAGGGACGAAAAGTGTTTTTTTCTGGCCACGGCGAGCCCAGACCACAAACAGGTCCCAGGACCTAAACCTAGAAACGGCCCGATAGCCTGAGCCCCTTCCGAGCCCAAAGTAGTCCTTAGTTCAGCGTCTTGACTGTCAGAGTTTCGGCGTTGCCCCGTCAGTCCAAGCACCTCGCGAGGTAGCTGGCATCCGTCGCGCCAGCGAGCTGGGCTATGTCCGAGACCTTCTGGGCCATCTCGTGCAAGACAACGACGACGTGCTGCAGTTGTGGTTGCATCGCTCTACTGCTACTCATGCAAAGCTTCGTTTCGAGTCGATCTCGGATTCTGCGGCCAAACCAGAAAACTAAGCTGCCGATGGTGCCATCGCTCTATTTTGAAATTCGATCAAGGTCCATCCTGCATCATTTGTCCGACTTCCCTGCCACTTTCTACCTCCTTCATCTCCCCCACCATCCCCCTCCTGCATCATCCCTCCTGCATCCCCTCTACTCCTGGCCACTCGAATGGGAAGGAAGGCCCTGCGAGTCCGCCGAGGGCGCCATCGGCTGCCCCTCGAACTCGACGTCCTCCACGAACTTCGTGAACGAGGTGGTCGCGAGATCCGAGACGAACTCTTGAACATTATCGGACTCCCCGGGTAGACTGTCAAAAAGACGAGCGAAGATCTCAGCGAGCTCCGAGGCCTTGTAGAAGTTAGCGGCGTCGGTCGCCCCCACCTTCGCGAGCAGCCCGAACGCCGCGATGGGAAGGTTAAAGCCCGCGTCAGTCATTTGGCCCATCGCCTTCTTCAGCTTGCCGGGGCCGTTCTTCTTGGAGGTGTCCGAGACAGCGTCGGCGAAGTCAACCATCGCTTGCGTCTTCGCCCGAAGCTTGCTAACGGCGTTCGCGGCCTCCTCGGGCACGGGCACCAACCTCCAAACCTTGCTGTCCAGCTTAACTAAGGCGGCGTAGGCTTCCCTGGGCGCCTTCCTGAGCGGGCCCATGACCTCGGACAGCGAATCTTTGGCCGGGCGCAGCCACTTGAAGATTGCCTCGTTCTCGCACTTCTCCTCCATGGCGGCCGCTGCCGCTTCGGGCTTCGCTATGCCCTCGGACTCCTGGGCGCCTTCCCGATCGGGCCCATGACCTCGGACGGCGAATCCTTGGCCGGGCGCAGCGACTTGAAGGTCCCCTCGTTCTCGTATTTCTCCTCCATCGCGGCCATTGCCGCTTCGGGCTTCGCTATGCCCTCGGACTCCAAGACCTCCCTGGGGCTCTTGTTTCGCCACTTGCCTGGGCGCCCGTGTTTCCCTTTCGCTGGCGGGTTCCCGGCGGGCTCAGGACCTGGCTGCGGTAGAGTCGACTTGGTCTCCCTCTTGCTGCACTTAGCGTCGGGCGCGTGGGTGCTGGAGGGCCCTGCGCTTGCACTGCTGGCGTGCTTATTGGAGCCGCCCGGGCGGGCGCTGCCGACCTTCGGCGCAGGCGCTGGCCCGTCATCCATATCGAGGATGCATGACGTGACGAATTTCAAGTTGTCACGCTCGTCCTCAGACGCGTCCGAGCCGTCCAGAGACTTGCCCATATCTTCACCATCTGACTCGGAATCCGCGGTCCTTGACCTGGGCCCCGCCACAGCATGTGCCAAGCCGGCGCCGCCCAGGAGGGAGCCGCGCTCTGCTGCTGCATCGTGCGAAATTGCATTTGCAGTCGCCCTTCCCACGCTCTGGTCCGCCACAGCCCTGCACTTGCCCTCAGCGTCAACGACGTTCGCCCCAGAGTCGATCCCCTCGTCGAAAGCTGCGCCAACGATGTCGTCCGCATCCAGATCGTAATGGCCGTCTGGCAACAAAGAGATGAGGACGCATTCTGTCAACTTACCCTTGATCCGCAGCTTCGTAGTCTTCACTGCTTCCTCTCGATCCTGCCAGGATGGTCTCTCTCGTGGACATCTCTTCGGATGACCCGGCACCTTTCTTTTCAGGTTGAGCTGCGATTTCCAGTAGGCAAGGACGGACTGCTTGACGGCTTGCTCCAACATCCCTTTGGCCTTGTCTCCGCTCCACGGAAGCGCATCCTGAGGCAAAGCAAAATGTTCCACCTCCACTTCTACCTCCCCTGATGCATATATATATATACACAGATGTATATGTATACTATCATATGTCTTAGGGGGGGGGGTCTAGAGAAAGGGGGCGCCAAGATGTTCGTAAATGTTGGGTTTTGAGCACTGGTTATGTGGACTCATTTACGAATCTTGGCGGGCTTGATCAGAGCTCATTAACCTTTTGAATTCTAGTTTCTAGTGGTCCGGAACAACGCCTGAACAACGGTTTCCCCAGAAAGGCCCGACAGCATTCGACACCTCATGGCTGGCATACGAACAAAAATGTCAGGCCGCTTCGCGGCCTTACTACACGCACCCCAAGCAAGCCCGTTAGCAAACATGCATCTCCGCATCCACATCCACCCAGCTCCTCCCCCTCCTCCTCATCCTCATCCTCCTCGTCGTCGTCCTCCTCCTTCTCCTCCTCCTCCTCCCCGGCCTTCTCCTCGTCCTCCCCCCTTCATCATCCACCTCCTTTGATAGGGTCGGGTCCTCCCATCTTTGACCAACTCGAGCATTTCCGCGTAAGCAGCTTCGAACTTGCGCTTCAACCCGGCGGCCCCCCTTGAGTTCCTCCACGAACTTACTGATGTCAGGCCGGCGATGAGCAAAGCCGCCATGCTGATATGTAAGCATACATATGCGCTCATAGTTGCCCGATGGGTTCTGGGGGCTCCCACGGTCCCAGATGGCGAACTTGTTCTTCTCTGGCCCATGCGGGCCCTCAGTCACAGGATTCGGGTCTGTGTTTTTGACGCCGCTGAGAGGGCAAGTCTTCACCCTCATGAACGTGCTTCCATCGATGGTGACCATCCCTGCTCCCGACGACGACCCGCGGCTGCTCTGCTTGTCTGCGTCGTCGTCCGCCACGCGGGCAACTCCGCCGGGGCTGTCGAGGCTCTGGGCCCTCCGCTCCTTACGGCGAGGCTCCGCGCCCTTGGGCCTAGTGCTGTAGCAGGGTGGGATGGCCTCCAAGGGGGGTGCCAAGAGGGCTCCAAGCTGGGTGGAGGGGGGGGGCCTTCCAGGCTCGCCTGATTGGATCTCCGCCCCCCCCCCCCCCCCCTGAGATCCAATCACCCTCGCCTCGCGGGCCTCCATCTGAGACCAAGAGGGCTCCGAGCCGAGCGCACCCTTCCCTTCCCAGGCTGGCCTGATCGGATCTCCGCCTTCCCCGAGATCCAATCACCATCGCCCTAGGAGAGCTCCAGGGGGTGCCCGAGAGGGCCCCAAGAGGACACCGAGGCGCGCGGCCCCCCTTTCCAAGCTCGCCCGATGGCATCTCCGCCCCTTCCCCAGCCTCATGGGGCTCAAAGGCTTAGCGCGAGCGAGGCGTGCGCGGGGGGGTGTAGGTAGGGGGGGGGGGGGGGGGGCACTTCGCGCGCGCTGCTGGGGGGGGGGGGGGGGGTTACTTAGCGCGCGCGGCGGATGTGGGTGGGGTAGGGGGGCACTGAGTGCGCGCAGGGCACCCTGAGTTACAAAACCACACATGGCTATCAGATTTGATCTTAATGACTCCCGAACTGTGGCGAATGGAGTTTCGTAATTACAATACTTGAACATATCTGAATTTCCGCGCGTGCGAGTTAGCGGCCGCTAACTAACACGTGTGCAAATCAGGGCTGCTGTAACTAGCGCGCGGTTTGATGTTCGGAAATCCGAATGCGCACATATCAGCATGTTATTATATTTAAGTCGCGACGAACTACGATTGCAGTTTTTCATTTTATCTTGAACGTGTTGCGCGCAAATATCATCAGAAACTCTGGCCAGTCAGACATCAACAGACTGCCGCGACGCTCGCGCCACCGTGCGCTTAGACAGAGACCAGAGACCTGTCTCCTCATCGCATGCTTGGATCTCGCAACCTATAGCTCTCGCGCAGCGGAGTCGCCCGCGGACCTCTCGCATACTAGCGCGTCTGCCATGGATGCGAGCGCCACCCCGATGGCGCGAGGGAGAGAGTGAGAGAGAGAGAGAGAGAGAGAGACAAAGCTCGAATGCCTGGCGCTTAACTTGGCCAGCAGCAAAAGCCCTGGAGGCATGCAATCGGTAGAAGCAGGGAAGACGAGAACGATATTGCGGGCCAGGGGGAGAAGGGGCGGGGCAACGGCAGCAGACTGCGAAGAGGGGAGGGCCGAGAAGCACGCGGAGGAAGGCGATGGTGACGAGCGCGCCAACAACAGAGCAAGGCACCTCCGACGCCCTCCTTGGCCGGCGCAGCAGTCCGCCGTCAGCAGCTTCCAATGCGAGCGCATGCAAGGCAGTGCAAAGGAACAAGGTCGGTCTACACCTTGGACGCGCCACCGCCGAGAGCGGGACCGATCGGCTATGCCGCCGCGACCAGGACCATTGGCCCCGGCGCTCGCCCTGCCCTGCGCGCAGCGCACAAGACCAGCAGCGCGGCGCTCGGCCGGCCGCTCTTGCGTTCCAAAATGGATGGTGGAGGGAGCGAAAGCCCTGCCGAGATAGATACACAATACAGAGATATAACGAGAGAGAGAGAGAGAGAGCGAGAGAGAGCGATAGAGAGAGAGAGAGATAATTAGGGAGAGAGATATTTTATGATATTTCTATGTAGAGAAAGAGAGAGGGAGAGAGAGAGAGAGATGGAGCAAGGGGGGAAGCACAGTACAGGACGCAGCCCATGCCAAGTGAAAAGGGTGACAGTGCACAGTGCAGAGTCTCTTCCTCCTCCTCTTCCTCCTCCCTCCTCCTCTTGTCCCCTACCCCGCCCGCCCTCGTGCCCAACTCCTCCATCCCGCTGCCCCCCCCCCCCCCGTCCATCCCGTCCGAGGTCCGTCGCCCTCGACGGCTTCGCACATCTAAAGGGGTTTTGGGAACTCAGCCATGCGTCGCCTCTTCAAGGCGTCTGTGCCAGCTGTCCCCATGCGTTGCCCAGCAGTGTACCAATCGATGATGTCTTGAAACGGTGGAGCCCTGCTACATGCCATCAGTCTGGAGCACCCGGGCAAACGGCAATAGAAGGACATTTGTTTCCCCGGCGTGTCTTTCTTGAGTAAAGAGACGCGGCCCCATGCGTCAGCTGGATTCACGCTGTTAGTCATAGTGCCATCTGCGACATCAGATTTCGCCGTGGGAACGCCTGGCTCATCATCATCAACAAACAACTCATCGTCCGTCAATACTACACGTTGCCTGTCCTCGGCTGCTAAGGCGGCTTCCCCCAGACGCATCTCACGTAGCTCGCCATCGTCTACGACCGAGTCCCCCTGAATCACTCTGCTGCTGCTCCTCCTCACCCTCCCCGTCTCCAGCTCGAGCGCCGTCATCGTCGCCACCGTCCCTGCGTTCACTCTCCGACGCGCCCTTGCCGCCTTTCCTCGCATGGCCCCTTCTCTCGGCGATCGGCGAGCCCTTGTGTGTCATCCTCTTGCGCTTGACGATGGACTCGTCAAACTTCCTCATCGTCGACGTGAGTTTAGACAGATCGTTGGCGACCTTGGTTTTCATCAGGCGCTCCCTCTCGACGTCGGCCATGGCCTCGCCCCGGCAGGGGGGGGAAGGGGCTCCTTGTCTCCATCATCCTGGACCACGCTTTCCACTTCGCTCTCCACCCCTCCTCCCCGACGCCGGGGTGTTGGATAAACTGAGACGCGCGCCTCCCGCCACGTGCACTTGGGCGCTGCCTGGGGAGCCAGGCCGAGCATCAACTGAAGCTTGAACGATATTGATATCACAATTGACTGGCCACCCCGCGCTCCCCCTTCCACCCCCCCCCCGTGGGACGACCAGAGAACGAACGCTCCGACAACCTCGCGTTGAAACGTTCGCCCTCCAGGGGGAAAAAGGCGGCGGCGCGGCGACTGCGCGGCGGCGGAGGGGGGAAGGGCGCCGGGGCGAGGGGGGAGCAAGAAGGAAGAGGCAATGCGGGGAGGGGTTAGGAGGAGCACCATGCAAACAACGACTACAGCGTTGAATCAGGCCCTTTGGGCCTCTCCTCAGGCACCGCAAATCAGCCCCCCTCCGCCCGCGACGCATTGTCCTCGGGAAGGCCTACTCTATTCGCTATCACTACCAATCCATCCTCACTATCGCAACTCCCATTCTCGTCATGACCCGCCCCCCTTAACCACGCAAAAAAGCTGCCACTATTTATCGCGTCAATGCAACTTCGCGTCTGCAACCCTACGTAGCACCCCGCAGATGCGAATAATAGTGAGGGGGCGGTGGGGACGTCGGCAGTCAGCGAGACGCTGGAGAAGCCCGCAGCAGGCGCCACGCCAACGTTTTACAAATTACGCAACGAGCCCGCCGCAGGCGCCGATTTTTTCTTCAAACCAATGTGGATCGGTCGCGGGTGGGTCGCGGGCGGGTCGCGGGTGGGTCGCGGGTGGGTCGCGGGTGGGTCGCAAGTGGGTCGCGGGTGGGTCGCGGATGGGTCGCGGGGTGGGTCGCGGGGTGGGTCGCGGGGTGGGTCGCGGGGTGGGTCGCGAGTGGGTCGCGGGCGGGTCGCGGGTGGGTCGCGGGGTGGGTCGCAGGTGGGTCGCGGGTGGGTCGCGGGGTTGGTCGCGGGGTTGGTCGCGGGGTGGGTCGCGGGTTGGGTCGCGGGGCGGGTCGCGGACGGGCCGCGGGGGGGCGACGACAGCAAACGACAACAACAACACAACTACTTCAAAAAGACAACAACACTAACAATAACAACAACAATAACAACAACCGCAACAACAAAAACAACAACATCAATAGCAACAACAACAACAATCACACCGACAACAACAACAACAACAACAACAAAAACAACAACGACAACAGCAGCAATGCGACCTGCATAATCCTCACCACGGATTCTCACTTCAGCCACGCACCCAGGAACAATGAAGGACCGTTTGGCCCCCCTCACTCTATACATTATATACATACCACATGCGACATGGAGCCAATCGAATAGTAGCCCTAAGGGGGCCAACGGTTCAGGGCCAGCGGGATCTACCACGCATCGTGCGTAACGC